ATGACCAAAATTAAATTTTCGCTCAACGTTCTTCTGCAGTTAGCTGTGCTCAAAAGGGGTCCCTAGGTTGTGCCGCAAATTAACACTTCACTTTCTCATTATGCCGAGATCACAAAAAAATGTTCGATTCCCATATCTTCACATTCAACGCTGCTCCACCGTCTATAGACCGTATATTAGCTAACTAAAGAGCATATCGATGAGATCTGGACGAGTTCCATTGGAGCCTTATGAACATTTATAGACGAGCACTAACTTCCTTGTTGTAAACTTAATGCCAGAAATGCTGCTTTCATGGCTGGTTTGTCGCTAAGTTACAGAACGCTAGCAGAAGCATCCATTCACGATCTACAGCGAACATTCCTTTAAATCGGAGTAATGAGCATCAAAATCTCTTTGACAAAACATTTGGAACAGCTTACATTATACGGTTATTCTTGATCAAACGTAGATTTTCTAAAATCTGACTAGCTACGCAAGAAACAAGTATCGTATATAATTTATTTCACAGCAAACACTTCAAAGCGCTCGATCGCTTCGTTATATGAGAAAGATCACGAAAATGTTAGACAGGCTGAATTAATGGCGAGCGACCGGCGTAAGGTGCCTATCAGAGTCCATAACAAGATGACGTCAGCTATCTACAGAAGGTAATAGTATGGTTGTTGTGCGATCGGGTTTGAGTTGGATAATGATCGCTTGCCGAAACGTAGTGGACCAGACGGACCATCACGTCGTTTTCCAAATCGAAGCGGTCCTTGTGGTCCAGCCTTCTTTAGATCTGCAATCAATTTGTTTCAACCATATGTGTGCCTAGATTTTGGGAAAATTTCATTTATAAGATTTTAGAAAACAAATTAAGTTGCACGAATTTATCAAGCGTCAATAAAACTTAACCAAGAAGAAAGACTACGTCACATTGTAATTTTTTTACGAGCTGGTCTTAAGCGAGAGCTGTGTATGTCCTCAGTGAAAGCTCTGGATGTTCCTGTACACTTTGATAGCCACGTTATTTTCTTAATTAAAGAAAACTGGAAATTGATAGTTATGCAGCAGATTTGGAATACAGACGTGCTAGAGGAGCAGACTGGATTTTAATGTGCACCAAAAAGTTTCGCCCCATGTTTTTCACCTTTTTCAAATGAGGATACGCATGGGATATAAGACACAAGTAACTGATTGCTCAGAACTTTCTGCAAAAAATGATTGCATCAAAAAATGATGGCCAACTCTTAAATGTGTTCAAAATTGTCGAACCTTCAACTCAGATTTCACGAATTGCAAGTGATATGGCACGTTCTAACACTAGTCATTCACTAAGCCACCTTAAGGGTTTGCAATGCTGATGCCCTATAAGCACAGATTTTCGTGCTGAAGTTCGACGATTATTCACGTTATGCTTTTTTGTGAAATTTGATTTTCCCGCAAGCTCACGCTAAAAGATAAGAA